ATTCAATATCCGTGTGGTACAGCTATTTATCAACTGTCTTGTTTAAACTTCTCAGCAATAATAAAGAGCACAGATAAGAAAATTAAAATTCGAGAGAGAATAAAAATCAAAGAACGATAATGGAATGAAAACGTACTTAAATATGAAACTATATAATATTGAGGGAAACTATTCGTGCTTTCAATCTTGAGGAGAAAGAGGGCTAATCTACATAATGTCATAATGTTAGGGACATAATTTAGATCATCAATGCTAAAGACAGGGACCACTCACTTTCTGAAGAGGCTGCCTTCCTTCCTGCCCTGACTCCATCGCCGCATGATCAGGTCACCGGCGCTCATGAGGTTCCCTAGGACTTGGTAGGAACCGCGCTCACAGGTTGTGTCCTACGCGATGATGGGGTTAGTGCTGCAAGTCCCCACTACGCGATTAACTGGCATCCTTTGGCACGTGTTTACCGACTAGGATTTGATAGGAACCGCGCTCACAGGTTGGGGTCCTCCGCACTGATGAGGTTAGTGCTACAAGTCCCCACTACGCGATTTACTGGCATCCTTTGGCACGTGTTTACCGACTAGGATTTGATAGGAACCGCGCTCACAGGTTGGGGTCCTCCGCACTGATGAGGTTAGTGCTACAAGTCCCCACAACGCGATTTACTGGCATCCTTTGGCACGTGTTTACCGAGGACTTCATTCATCACAACATTGACTCGGCACTTCACAGGTCTTAAACCTCACGTCACATGGACTAAACAAACTCGGCATGATTACCAGCTAATAAGACATAGACTAGAAAGTAAATGTGCATCCATGAGTTATACGCACACGGGAAGATGGCATCAACAGCCGGAGAAAACGGATATGTTACTTCAGCTTTCTAAATCAAGCGCGCGAACAGTTTTGAAAGAGTTCTATATTCTGTGATTCAATCGGAACTTCAAAAGAGAGTCAGGAAAATTTATCAAGCGTAAATTTGTCTTTAACTAAAGAGTGAATGCTGAGAGTTTGAATAGCACAAGGTCTGAATAAATCAGATAACTAATAAATCAGACCCCTCTTGACGCAAATTCAAGGATATAATTAAGACCTGCAAATTGCATTGCTGTTTACACGTAAATTGCACTTCACAACCTAACATAGGATGGCGCGCTGCCGTCTCTAAGAAGATGCATCGAAATATCGGGTAATGCAAGACTAACTTGGTGAGCGAGCAGAACTAAAGCAATTAGCTCTCTCCTCTCGAGTAAGTTTAGCTGGAGCGAAGAGAACAGCCACTAATTTCACTAAAAAATTCAACAAACTTTGGGTCACGATGGCAGCAGTTTATGTAGTAAACCTATTTAATACTGCACAGAAGATGCAATACTCGAGCTGACAGAAGACAGGAAGGCTACATTCATGAATGAGATGAAACTTTGGAGTGGCACAGCGAAGTATGCCGTGGTAACGCAATTAAATTATGTTCAAATAATAAAAATCGATGAAGAATATTGAGCGTCGAAGCGGGCTAATAATTGATCAACCACGAACCTTAAACTAGAGTTGAAGAAAAACAATGTTAAAAATATGTACACAAAGAATTGTAAAGGTAGAAGCAAAACTAGACTCTAGCAAAACACGACTCTCTAACTAGACTTTAACTAAGAAGAAGAAGATTAATTGGATTAAGAATTGAACAAACTGACAATATCACAAAAACATTGCATAACAAGATGTCGTTTTTTCACATGATTGGTTCCATTGAAATGCTGGACGTATTTTTCTCGACTTTAGTAGACGAAGGCGACCTCTCGTTAATTGAGATCGTTTATGGCAACGATTCACTTTATGCAGTGACACAAGAAGACTGATACAATTAATTGAACGACAACCAATTAACCATAGCGGAGCAAAACCACAAATTTTAAGCTAATATGAAAGAAAGAGCGTTGACGGTACAAAAAGAACTAACGCAGAGCGCTGATTGGTCAAAGCATCATAGAATGCTGAGCTTTGATTGGCCAAAGCATAAGCTTCAAGGCGCGTGAAAAGAATAAAATTCAAATAAAAATAGGTTTCTGTGCAGGCGCCGTCTAATCAGCGGTAGCGCATAACAATTTATCAGTAAATAAAAAGAAACAAACGCTAAGGCAGAAAAACATTCTTAAAAAAAGCTTACTATAGGCTCAATAATTTGCGATGCTTCAACTTAATATAACTCTCAGTGCTTTATAAGCATGGTTGCTGAAAATAACTTAAAATATAACTTAAATTTTCCAATTGAAAAAAATGCAACTCATAATTGAATTTTATAATCGACCAACCAAAGAGAATATGAGGCTACAATTGAGTTAACTGGAAAATTAAGGATGTTTTAATGTCGAGCTACATGATGAAGGGGCAGGTGATAGTAAAGGATTCTGAAGTTTAAAACAGCATAAATGACCCAAAATGCTTTTAAAATTTAACGAAAAAATGCACTGCCAAGAACTTTTATAAGTGCATGCACGTAAGTGCATGCACGTAAGTGCATGAATTTCCAACAAAGTTCATCAGTCTAGAGGAGCTGAGGCTATCAAACAGAGCTGCACAGTCTCAAGCAATTCCAGCCACAATGCCGAACATGCGCTCGTTACTCCATAACTCGATAAATCAATTAACACGAAGCCCACATTCCGTTAATCTGCGGCATTCCAATAAGTTCTGAACGTCTAAGGTGACGAAGGATTTCATTGGCAAACGATGTCAAGTGGAAACATAAACCTGATTGATTCCTAAGGAACAACATTCATTTTCACGACATTCATTTTCACGAGGTACACAAGTTTCACAACATTCATTTTCACGAGGTACAAGTGACCTCAAAATAGCTGTTGATTTGATTTTGAATACAATTTATTTGCTAGGTAATGAATAATTGACTAGTATATGAGTAAATTAAATATTAAAAGGGATTTCCGTAGAGTTATCACTCACGAGGCACACCGTTTTCTATTATGTAGGTGACAAACTGCGATTAAAATAAGAAACATAATGGGCCTTGATTTATGTCTCCTACATTTCTATTCAGTCAGGTTCCGCGTTTCTACTGCAGTCCAGTGCCACAAGAACTGAGGAGACATGTTAAGTTTTTTATTTCAACCATTTTATTTTTTATTATATTGCCTAGATATATTGGCGCAAAATAGTTGGCATATTAACGACTCTGCAGCAACCCTATATGCCGCGCAGCAGGATATCTGAAAGAAGATACGTGCACGTAACTGTGAGGGCCAAGCAGCACAACATGAGCAGCACGAAGCATTTTATTGCTGAAGCAAACGACTGAAGAGCGACGAGCAGCACCACTAAAGCAGACCGCCCTCCAGTACAGGTGCGTCCGTACACATGCGACTACAAATTAGCTTTTGCCGCAGTCCTCCGAGTCTTGCTTGTGTAAACAACTCACTCACACGGAATATTCATTGTTATTGAAAATAACGTAAAATATAACGTAAATTTTCAATTGCAAAATGCAACTTATAATTGAATTTTATAATCGACCAACCAGAGAGAATGTGAAGCTACAATTGAGGTAAGTGGATAATTTAGAATGTTTTATAATAAATAAAGATAGAATAGAATAAACTAGAAATTTACCATCACGAATCGCTTCTTGATATAATCTTATAAGCTATGTTTTGGTTGTCAAGAGTTGGTCGACATCGAAAAACTGAAGCAGAAAGAAAAAACTAATAGAAAAGAAATTTACCATCGATACCCTTGTTTTTTTACTATATTTTCGTTTTGTAAATTACATAACAGACATCATTGAAGGCACTTTCTATTGCAACTGCCAACCATATGCTATGCTGTGACTGCGGTAAACAAGCAGCTGTTTTTTTACATGATTACCCCTTTAGCGGGCACGATACCATACATGGTATCACTTTAAACCCCCCTCCCCCAAAAAAAAAAATCCATCGGCCCCCAAAGTCAGTTTGAGGCTACGTTATCCTGCCTCTGCAAATCACCTATTATCTGACCATTGCTCTGTACATAGCATAAGCAACTACCAACCCCTAGAATTGAAATATGAGCATTTCAATGACATTTTTGACTCGGAAAATGAAGTTGACGCTCTTTCCGCATTAGTTTAAAAGATGGAAGTTGCAATATCTAGTCAATCAAATTAAATAACGTGACTAATTGGTTTAAATTGAGGTTCCATTGTTACCCTAAACATTTCAATGTTAGAATTTGTATTATTTACTATTTTCAAGCGTAGTGACTGATTTAATATATTCTCTAACTGTGATTTACTCCTTCAAAATGCCAAATTGTTGACGATTCATATAAGCACAAATATTTTATAATTGAATGCTTTATTCAATTTATAAAAAGAATACGAGCTTATTCATATTTCTATGCCAGCGAAAGGGAAGATGAGCACGAATAACAGATTTAATAAAATAAAATGCGGATCATCTTAGCTTTTAAAAATTAACTCTTCAATAGCTTAATTTGTTAGTGATTAAAAGAAGCCAACAACATTGAAAGCCAGATGATCTCGTTCTAGCACTGCAATACTAGAAATTCTTAATTATTGACAATGTTCTTTCTCTCCGTGAAATTCGGCGTCAGTCCGTTCAGTCACACAGAACTTCCTATTATATAGCAGAAATGTCATGTTTTGGGTGAGATGCCAACAACCTAGGCCACATCGTCTTTATATGTTGGCATCGTCTTTATATGTTTTTAAATTTGCACAGGCCACATCGTCTTTATATGTTGATAAGTGTGATTCGGCGCCAGTTTGTTCAGTCACACAGAACTTCAACAATCCCTGAACTGAAGAGATGGTGGAAAGAGGAACTGAAGGCCTGAGCTTTCAGGTAAATCCTGCACGTTATCGGCAGCGCCAGGCGAAGCGTTGACATTCGAGAAGATCCAGTCAGCATTAGCGCTGGTCAGCCAGACCCAGTCAGCATTAGGGCTGATCAGCCAGACTCAGTCAGCATTAGGGCTGATCAGCCAGACTCAGTCAGCATTAGGGCTGATCAGCCAGACCCAGTCAGCATTAGGGCTGATCAGCCAGACCCAATCAGCATTAGGGCTGATCAGCCAGACCCAGTCAGCATTAGGGCTGATCAGCCAGATCCAGTCAGCATTAGGGCTGATCAGCCAGTCCCAGTCAGCATTAGGACTGGTCAGCCAGTCCCAGTCAGCATTAGGGCTAGTGAGCCAGACCCAGTCAGCATTAGGACTGGTCAGCCAGTCCCAGTCAGCATTAGGACTGGTCAGCCAGTCCCAGTCAGCATTAGGGCTGGTCCCTCAAGCCAGAAAATTGTCGACCTTTCGAGAACGTGCGGTGGCCAACGACTAAAAAAGTGTGGTAGAATCTATAAGATTTAGCAGCACTTGATCATGAAACTGAGGCCGAGATAGATTAGTAATAAACACAAACGATGTTTTTAACCACAATACTCGTAAGATCATTGATAAAATATAACTGAAAGAGAGGTGAATCATTATAACGTGCAATTTATACATCGCAGATAAAACACTTGAGTATAAAAAACCTAAGCGAAATTTGACTGCGTAAGCCGTTATCAATGTAGGCCGGCAACACAATTAATCAAGCACAATGAGCCGCGAAGGTGAAATATGTTATACCCAGCGCGGCAATAATCACTAACATGACCCAGGGCTTGGCGGCGGCAGCTGAAGGGGACCGGAGCGCGAGGGAACACAACTTCTCGGGACCAAAACTGCGCACAGACTGCGCTGGGGACCCCGGCCGACCCGGCCACACTTTCCCCTCACTTCCCTCACCGCCTGCCCTCTTTTCCCGCAGTCAAACCATACACTTTCCCTCGCGTTCTGGAGCGGCTCCCTCTCACACACATCTGGAGCGGCTCCCTCCCAGCCAAACCCCTTTTTTGCCCGGCGTTCTCAATACGTTATTCTCATTGCGATGCTTCTGGCATGCATGTATATCAGAGGATTGTCGCAATGTGAGCTTTTATCGACGTCATCATTTAATCTGCTTGCACAATCAGTTGCGACCTTTAAACGTCAAAGAAAATGAAAAAAAATAATAATTTTCACCTCTGACCTAAGCGGGTGTGTCTCCAAAACCAACATTGACCACCCAACCGCAGCTCAACGCCCTTCCACCGTCAGCTTCCACAGCGCAACAAACAACGGCATTTCGGACTCGCTGCCCTCAATTTTCCCTCAAATTTGACAGTTTACCTGCCGAGGGTCGACACCGAGACAGACTCGGAATCGCGGCCGAAGTCTCGTTTTCTCCAGACTGGGAAATACAGTGAGAATTTTGCGACCAAAACCGTCAATTAGGCTACAACCCATGAATGAGTTCACTCGGGCAGAGACTCGGGCCCAATAAAACACACAACAAGTGTTCTTAATCAGCACAGATCGCAATGCATAGTTGGCGGACGTAAATTCTCAAGATGTATTTAGGTTCCTAGTCGGAAAAAAATAGTTCAAAATTTTCAAATCGACGGCAATAAACAAAATATTTCTCATAATATTTGAGCCTCAGGATGTAACAAGCGAGACACAGTCTCCAGAAGTGTCCGATCAACTTATCATGATTGAATCTATTTTCTCTCTTAGTTCAGCCACGAATAACGTAAGAAAATATCGCGATTCGTATGAAAGTCAAGGAGTAAAATTGCCGTTCATTCTAATTGCGATTGAACTACAATACTTAGTGGAGAAAAATCGGAGAACGTCATTCGTCAAGTCAGAGAAATATTGCGCGAGTTTTCAAATAAAAAATATGAAAATGAGGCAAAACAACAATTAAATTGCTCGCTTATATCAGTTGAAAATGCATTGCTAAGACTGGAGTGAATATTGAAGTACAAGTAAGAAAGAGCTTTAATTTATAATAAAGAAATTTCGACGACGCACTTGATATACAAGCCTTTATATAAGGTGGGCATGAACTACGCCAGATTCACAGTAAATCCACAAAACTGGGATAAAGTTGTTGACGCATGCAAATTCTAGCAGCCTGGAGTAGCAACAAATAAAATAATGCAGAAAATAACTAATTTAAAATAAGGTTCGTGTGTTACATCAAATCCCCACGCAATTCCAGGCGCTTGTATGCACAACAATGGACGACGAAGTTAGATTCTCCACGGTCTTGCGAAACATTGTGAAGCGAAGGGAGCAGGGGTCGCAAGCAAGTCTCTAATGCCAGAATTGATCCATAAAAAAGGGGCAATTTGATCCCGGCCGACAGAGCAGCCTTGTATACGTGCGCCCGGAGATTACGAACAGCCACTGCTGGCCGGTGCAGCTGGAAGAACGGTGCTTATAAGCAGAGCTGGTGCCATACTTTCAAAACTCGCTAAGTGAACGAAAGTACTTACGCTCTATTTTCTTGTCTATGATTGGTGGATTTGGCTTTAAAGGCCGTCAATGATTGGCTGATGAACTGACGACCTCTTAACTTCTTTTGAAAGTATGGCCCCTGGGCAGCGCTACCGCTACATGCTCTAAATGTAGCGGGCGCTACCGCTACCGCTACCGCTACAATTGGTTAAATGTAGCGCCGCTAACACTACCGCTACTGAAAATGTAGCGGCCGCTACATGTAGCGCGCAACTGCCCACCTCTGCTATTAAGCTAGCAAGCAGCGCTTGGACATACTTTGTTGAGGTGCGAATTCGAGTAGAAAAATCAGACAAAACACACATATTCCAGACAAAGGATAAGGAAGGATAGCACCCTGAGCTTCAGTGTGTGAGCAATGTAGAAAAAAAGTAAGATAGGCTCGGATGGATTGGTGTCTTGAGTTGTAAGTTTCATGAAATGCGTGATCATGCTGAAAATCATCAGAGAGTGATAATAGATGAGACAAGATACAGATTATCAGAGCGTATATAGAGGGCGGTAGCAGATGAGACACGGAGTGTCGGAGCGTGGAACCAGAATTTATGTGGCAGATATTAGTTATTTATCCAAGAAATTATGTGAAACTTCCGTAGATTAAAGCTAAAAAATGTCGTTTCGTTGTCGTACATTGGAAGTGGAAAACATGCCCTATTGTTCTTAAATCTTCGCGGTCGAAGAGTGACGTCTTCCCCTCTTATCTTCTTCAGTTCCTTTTTCCTCCTTACAGGTGTTTTCTCGGGGCTGGTGACTTTAAAGGGCCGACATATTAATTACAATCTTTGGTTGTTAGTCTGTTACACGTCTTGTATTTTCTTCACTGCAAACTAAATGTTATTATAGAAATAAACTTAATTATTCATTGGCATTTATTAAGACATGATACTAGCGTCACTATTATTAGTTGCATAGTAGTTCATTGCACTGATTATTCGTGAATCAAATTAATCACGGTGAAATAAAAAACAGGGATGATAATTGTGATGTATGAAGAGTAAACAAAATTATTATTATGAAATGACAAATGAAATAAAAAATGTAACTCAGTACTCACTGCAGTGAGTGACAGAGAGCGCATTTTCTCGTCGACGAAAACGTGAAGTCACGGACGGACAGACAGACTGACAGACGGACGGACGGACGGACATGGCGAGCACAATAGTGCATTTTTTCCATAAATGAGAAAATGCGCTAAAACTGCGATTTGTTACTACTTCAAAGATTCAATTAATTGTCAATAATTATTTAACAATTTGAAAGTTTCTAGATTTGAGAAACATGGTCATACTGAGCTACACATGCATACACTGACACTGAGGGGATGATGGTGGAGGGGGGAAGAGTTTCAAGATGGAGGGGGAGAAGTCATATTGTGTGCCGTTGTACACACTACACAGCACATGACTTCATTAGTTGTGTATATGTTATCTATAGTAATAGTTATCTTACATAATACTTGAAATTAAACGAATAAATTGCTCGTGGTGGAGAAGCAGTACACTATGGTCATCTATCGGTAGTTAATTCTTTTAATTCAGTTTGAAATGAATTCTAACCAATTTCAGTCAATCAAACGGATTTTCAATCTCATTTGCAAAGCATGAGCAGAGCAGCTGAGATGTAGCGAGGGAAATTGTCATCAGTAAATGTAAGGAGCACACAATACGCCGCCTCTAATGCACACCGCGGCGCTCCAGGATTGAAATTAGCATCGCAATTCATCGCTCACAGCACAAGTGGGCATAATTAACATTACTGCGTCACATTCTCTTCCTTTCACGGAAATTCAAACGCTTAGTTCATCATTCGATGATATAATAAGTTATACTTTACCTTTAGGCAACACCAGAGACGATGATACCTTTCGGTAACAACCGAAGAATGCTTCATCGCTCACAGCACAAGTGGGCATAATAAATATTACTACGTAACATGCTCTTCTTTTCACGGAAATTCAAACGCTTAGCTCATCATGATTCGATGATACAAGAAGTTATACTTTACCTTTAGGCAACACCAGAGACGTTGATTTCTTTCGCTAACAACCGAAGAATGCTTCAATTGTCCGTAATTAACAGCAGCAATCATACCCTAATTCTAGGATTTAGACGGAATGATACCTCTACTCCCACATAGAAAACGGATACCTTACCTCTCAGGTGCAAACGGAACGACCCATCGCATTCGGTATCTTCATAAATCACACTTCACTTCTAAAGAATATAAAGCTCTTAGATGATGATGAGCAGTTCGAGCCTTGAGTGACCTCTACACAGACGGCGAAGAGTCTTAATTTAATAACAAGGGAGGATATATATGAAGGCCTAGCTGTAGCGCCTCCGCCCTTATGTTTCCAGGAAGCATGCGCTTCTGTGCATAGCAATCACACTCAGGCTTGTGACCGTCATAGGCTGGAAATGTTAATATATGAATTCAATCATGCTAGTTAATGACATATATTCTTCCCTATCGTACAATTCACATTCTTCATACGTCTATGTTATCGATTCACAAGCATATTTGTTGAGGTTTTATTGTGAACAAACTTAGAAAATTCTTTCAAGATATGTTAATATGCTTGTTCTTATAGGTACTGATTATCTCGACGAAGTGACAATGCAGGACAGTAATATAAGCATTAGTTTCCAAATAGAGAACTTTATATCAAGATATGGTTAACTTGTTGTTAACAGAGATGAGATTTTTGTAACAAATGATAGTATAGAACCATCCATAAAAAAAACAAGCACTTGTTTCGTGGAAAATCCACTGCGTGACTTGCATTAGGTTATAACAAACTTTCAGAAAGAAATCCAGCTAACAAAAAAAAATATACAGCCAGATTAGTAGTCACAGAATGATCGTTTCTTTCACAAGCTTCATTAACGGGTG